GACAAGACATAATATTAAGCTATGAAGATAGGGAAAAACAAGAAATGTAACAGTTAAGTCATATAAACAAGTAATTAATGAAATATGGGAAAACATGAAAATATTTGAGGGCGTATATACACTCGTTACCTCGCATATACGCCACTACACATGTAATTCACATAGCACATAGCTCATAGGTTCCTAATTCCTCCAAATCAAGGTTAGACCACACACTTACCTCACTCCGCAATCAACTCAAAATTCAATCATGGCCTTGCCTTTCAAACAAGCCTCCAAACCAACCAAATTTAGCAAATTATTAACCAAACGATTCAAAATAAGACTTAGAAAGTCAACAAAAGTCAACCCCAGGATCGCTTGGTCAAAAATTGAGGTTCGGACCAAAACCTGATCACCCATTCACCCCTGAGCCCGGTTATACAATTCAATTCGAAATCCGACCTCAATTCGAGGTTTAAATCCCAATTTTATAAAAATTCCTGATTCTACCCAAATCCCTAATTTCTACCATAAAAATCCTAGACTTGATGTTGAAATCTTATGAAATATAATGGGTAATTGAAAATAAGTAGATTAAAGTTACTTACCAATGTATTTAGGAAGAACATTTCTTGGAAAAATCACTTTCAGGGTGTTTAGGGTTGAGAGTTTGAAAGAAATGAGTTAAATCATGTTTTCCCCTCTTTTACCCAACTAGAGTTATCGCAATTGCGACATATAGTTCGCAATTGCAGTGATCGCAAAAGCAATCAACCCCTCGCAAATGCGAAGAAGTCTCTGAACCCGTCGTCGTCGCAAATGCGACAATTTGTTCGTAATTGCGAAAACACATCCTCTGCAATTGCGCACTTTTACTTAGCAAATGCAAAGCCTGCTCTAACACTACTGAGTCGCAATTGCGACTCTCGGATCACAAATGTGATTGCTGCTATGCCCGTAAAATGAGAACTTTTCCTCGCAATCCTTCCAACCCATGCTCGCAAATGCGAAGTATCCTTCGCAAAAGCAAGGCTCGCATTTGCAAGTCAAACCTCGCAAATGTGAGATCTTCCGTCCAGCACCAGATGTAAACATGCACTAGCTATGCTTCTAAGTAAAGAATTACCTCGTAGCCTATCCGAGACTCACCCGACCCCCTCGGGCTCCAAACCAAACATGTAAACAAGTGTAATAATATCATACAAACTCACTCTCATGATCAAAACACCAAAATTACACTTAGAGCTATGAATCTGCAACCAAAACTAATAAAATACTCAATGAAACTTAAAAACATGCAATTTCTCAACCGGACATCCGAATCACGTCATATCAACTCCGTTTTGCACCAAATTTTGCAAATAAGTCATAAATACTAAAACAAACCTATGTCAAGTCCGGAACCGAAATCTAAACCCAGTAGCAAAAAAGTCAAACTACGGTCAAATTTATGAATTCTTTAAACCTTTCAACTTACTGACGTGCCACATCCAAGGGGAGGTGCCGTAGTGCATGCTATTTGCAGATGATATTGTATTGATTGATGAAACGAATGGCTGTGTGAATGCGCTATTAGAGGTATGGAGGCATACCCTGGAGTTTGAAGGTTTCACGTTGAGCAGGACCAAGACAGAATATTTGGAGTGTAAGTTCAGTGGTGAGACTCAAGGNGGGGGGAGGGGGGGCTGGACTCGCAGGTCATCCCTATGAGAGGAAGTTTTAAGTACCTTGGGTCTATTATTCATGGGGATGGGGATATTGATGACGATGTCACACATCCTATTGGGGCGGGATGGATGAAATAGAGAATCACTTCTGGTGTTTTGTGTGACAAGAAGGTGCTACCGAAACTTAAAGGTAAGTTCTACAAAATATTGGTCAGACCGACGATGTTATATGGGGCTGAGTGTTGGCCAGTCAAGATCGCTCATGTATAGAAGATGAAGGTAGCAGAGATGAGTATGTTGAGATGGATGTGCGGGCAAACCAGGTTAGATAAGATTAGAAATGAGGTTATTTGCGACAAGGTAGGTGTGGCCCCTATTGAGGACAAGCTGCGGGAAGTGCGACTTAGATGGTTTGGTCATATGAGGAGGAGGAGCACAGACGCCCCAGTGAAGAGGAGTGAGAGGTTGACATTGGAGGGCCTACGGAGAGGTAGAGTTAGGCCAAAGAAGAGGTGGTGAGAGGTGATTAGGCAAGACATGGCGCAACTTCAGCTGACTGAGGACATGACCCTTGATAGGAAGATATGGAGGTCGAGAATTAGGGTAGTAGAATAGGTAGTCTAGAGTGTTCATAATAGTAGTATTGGAATGCAGCCTCGCCTTCTGTTGGTAGTAGGTTTTTGTGACTAATTGTTATTTTCTTTCATTGTTGATCACCTTACTATCTTGTTATTTTTATTCTGCTTTTATATGGCTTTTTGGTGTTGTCCCTTCTTTTCTATATTTTTATTAATGTGGTGCTTATTCTTTCCTAAGCCGAGGGTCTATTGGAAACAACCTTTATATCCTTACAAGGTAAGGGTAAGGTCTGCGTACACACTACCCTCCCCAAACCCCACCGGTGTGGGATAATACTAGGCATGTTGTTGTTATTGTTGTTGTTGTTGTTGTTTAAACCTTTAAACTTCTAGTTTTCAACAAACTACGATATCAAGTTAGGGACTTTCGAATTCGATTTTGTGCATACGCACGAGTCACAAATCATGATACTGACCCACCGGGACCATCAAAATACTGATCCAGGTCTGTTTGCTCAAAACGTTGACCGAAGTCAACTCAAATGAATTTTAAGGCACAATTTCACATTTTATCTATTTTCACATAAAACCCTTATGGAAGAAGAAACGGACTGTGCACGAAAATTGAAGAAGGCTAAACGGAGCTAATTGCTGTTTCAAAACATAGAAATGAGGGTTAAAACTGAAAATGATGTGTCAGGTCATCACATTCTCCACATCTAAAATAAGCGTTTGTCCTCGAATGGACATAGAAAAGTACCTAGACTGGTGAAAAGGTATGGATATCTACACCATATGTCCGACTCAAACTCCCACATGGATTCCTTGATCGGCTGACCTCTCCACTGCACTCGAGCTGAAATATAACTCTTAGACTTCAACTGTCGGACCTGCTGGACAAGAATAGTCGCCAGATTCTCCTCATAAGTCAAATCCTTGTCCAGTTAGACGGAGCTGAAATCTAAACACATGGGATGGTTCACCGTGATACTTTCGGAGCATAGATGCATGGAACACCGGATGGACTGCTGCTAAGCTAGGTGGTAATGCGAGCTTTTAGGCCACCTCACCCACTCCCCCAAGAATCTCAAAGGGTCTGATATACGTAGGGATCAACTTGCTCCTCCTTCCGAACCTCATCACACCCTTCATGGGTGAAACCCGGAGCAATACCCTCTCTCCAACCATGAATGCAACATCATGAACTCTACGATCGGCATAACTCTTTTGCCTGGACTGAGTGGTGCGAAGTTCATCATGAATAATCTTGACCTTATCCAAGGCATCTTGTACCAAATTTGTACCCAACAACCGAGCCTCCCCCGGCTTGAACCATCCAACTGGCGAACTACACCACCTCCCGTACAATTCCTCGTAGGGAGCCATCTGACTGCTAGACTGATAGTTGTTGTTGTAGGAAAACTCCGCAAGCGCAAAACATATCCTCCAATATATAAATAGTGCGATTATACTGTCCGTCCGTCTGGAGATGAAATGTTATACTCAACTCAACCTGCATGCCTAACACACATTGTACAACCCATCAGAAGTGTGAGGTAAATTGCGTACTACGGTCGGAAATGATAGAGACGAACACACCATGAAGACGGACGATCTCGCGGATGTAGATCTTAGGTAACCGCTCTTAAGAATAGGTAACTACCATTGGAATGAAATGTGCTGATTTGGTCAGCCTGTCTGGAATGACCCATACCGCGTCGAACTTCTTCTGAGTCTGTGGGAGTCCAACAACAAAATCCATAGTGATATGCTCCCACTTCCACTCAGGAATGTCTAACCTCTGAAGCAAACCACCAGGCCTCTGATGCTCGTACTTTACGTGCTCACAATTTAGACACCGAGCTACATATGCAATTATATCCTTCTTCATCCTCCTCCGCCAATAATGTTGCCGCAAGTCTTGGTACATCTTGGAGGTATCCGGATGAATAGAATACCAGGAATTATGGGCCTCCTCCAAAATCAACTCACGAAGCGCATCCACATTGGGCACACATATACGACCATGCATACTCAAAACCCCATCATCTCCAACAGTAATCTACTTGGTACCATCGTGCCATACCATGTCCTTAAGGACAAGCAAATGGGGAACGTCATACTGACGCTCTCTAATGCGCTCACACAAGGAAGACCGAGTGACTGTGCAAGCTAGCACACGACTGGGCTATGAAACATCTAACCCCATGAACTGATTGGCCAAAGTCTGAACACATGTTGCAAGCGGTCTTTCATACGCAAGGCTACTCATACTCACTGCCTTTCTACTAAAAGCATTGGCCACCACGTTGGCCTTCCCGAGATGATACAAAATGGTGATATCATAGTCTTTCAATAGCTCCAACCACCTCCTCTGTTGTATATGCCTAAACTACATTCAATAGTTGTATACCATCTCTTAATGCATTACTGTCAAACCATCAATTTGTCTCTCCTAAAGTTTTAATCCATGATAGTCAGTCTTTGATGCAAAATGTTTGTCATGATAGTGAACCTTCTTCATATGAAGAGGTTGCTATTAATCCTGCTTGGAAAATATCCATGACACAGGAATTTGAGGCATTACATACCAATCATATATGGGACTTGGTCCCAGCCAACAGGAAAGAAAGTTATAGGTTATAGGTGGGTATATAAAGTGAAACATAAGGTCGATGGAAGTATTGAAAGGTTTAAAGCTCGTTTGGTGGTGAAATGATACACACAACAAGAAGGAATAGATTACACAGAAACATTCTCACCAGTGGTAAAGATGACTACCGTGAGAGGACTTATAGAAGTAGCTGTAAAGAGAGGGTGGGACATGTTTCAAATAGATGTGAATAATGCATTTCTTCATGGAAATTTGAATAAGGAAGTGTTTATGGAGATCCCACATGGGTTAATGGTGCCTGAATCAGGGCTGGTTTGTAAGCTAAATAAGTCTCTATATGGCCTGAAACAAGCCAGTAGGCAATGGTATGCCAAATTAACAGAAGCACTTTGCTCCAGAGGTTATGAGCATTCTATGCACGATTATTCATTCTTCTATAAAATGAATGGGGCATCTTTGGTGTATGTAGAAGTGTATGTTGATGATGTGATACTCACAGGAAGAGATCTAGAAGAAATAGAGTTGTTGAAGAAATTCTTACATGACAGTTTCAAAATTAAGGACCTGGGAAGACTACATTATTTCCTTGGACTGGAAATTCTCTACAAGAATGATGGAATCATTGTCTCCCAAAGAAAATTTGTCATTGATCTCCTAAAAGAAAATGAATCTCAGTTGCAGCTCCTTATCATCACCTCTTGACCCAAATGTGAAACTCAAAGCAAAAGAAGGAGCTCCCCTGTCAGATCGTAGCTGTTATAGAAAATTGATTGGGAAACTGAATTTCTTAACCAACACAAGATTGGATATAGCCTTCAGTGTTCAACATCTAAGCCAGTTTATGCAAGATCTAAGAGAACTACATTTGAAGGCAGTCTATCACCTGTTGAGATACTTGAAGACTGATCCTAGCCTAGGAATTTTCTTTTCAAAAGATGATGACTACATAGTGAAAGCATATTGTGACTTTGACTGGGCATCTTGCCCAGACTCCAGGAAATCAGTCACTGTCTACATTGTCATGCTGGGAAATAGCCCCATCAGCTGGAAATCAAAGAAGCAGGAAACCATTTCCTTGTCATCAGCAGAAGCAGAATAACGATCCATCAGGAAAGTAGTTGGTGAGTTAGTGTAGTTGCAAAGGTTGAGGATCTCACAATCCCATTCTCCAGTCCCATTGCAGTGTTTTGAGATAGTCAGTCAGCACTTCACATAGCAAGGAATATAGTATTCCACGAACAAAGCACATTGAAGTCAACTACCACTTTGTTCGAAACAAACTCCAAGAGAGCCTCATTTCTCTACATCACATTTGGACTAATCATCAGCTTGCATACATTCTCACTAAGGCTCTCACAGGGATTAAACATTCCAGCATTCTTGGCAAGTTGGCTGTGATACCCTCACTTCCAACTTGAGGGGGAGGGGGGGTATCGAGATATATCACATTATTTATAGCTTTAGTAGTTGTAGTTACAGCTTTAGCACTTGTACCATTCAGTTAGTTTGTTAGTTGAGTTGGTTATATTTTCATTAGTTGGTTAGTCGGTTAGTTTTCTTTTGATTATGTAGCTGTATATATACAACATTGCAGAGATCAATACATTTGAGACTTTCATTCCCATGTTTTCTTCTTCTCCCTTCTCGATAATAGTCATTTGCCAAAAAGAAAAAAGAAAGGACGATGAAGAAGGGTTCAGCCTAAAGTAGCTATAAAATACATGAAGATTAGAGATAATTTGGAGTTGACAATTTTAAGAGTTAGAAAATGGAGGCCAAGACAATACTCTATTCTATTGTTAGTGTTCTATATTTGGTATCAATAGGAATATCCATTTGCTTCTGTCTTGGGAAAAATCATCACGGTAATAATTATGCCAATTCAAAATACACCAGACAACCAGCATCGTTTTGCAAACCCTAGTCGAGTTGTTGATGGCGGCATTGCAGCATGAATGGTTGCGGTCATCCTAACAATTAGGTAGTGTGGCTATGGTGCATATATGTGGGTTTTCTCGAAGTTTTGTGCATTTATTTTTGTGTAGGTCAAGTTCTTCACTATTGGGAAAATTATCAAGTAATTTGTACAGGTCAATCTTCGTTTGCAAAATATCATTCGATCGTTAGTGGTTTTGTGTTCTTATTAACATTGGTTGTGACGTAAAAATATCATGGATGTCATGTCATAGTAGAGTGCCTAATTGTGTTAATTTTCTTGAAATGGAAGTGTCGTATCAGTAATAGATTTGATGTTTTTTTTCTAAATGAATTTAAATTCTTATTATTTGTTATATTTCATTTTCGAGAGTCAACTTAGGGGAATCAATGGATATTTAAAAATCGACTAAACCGACCGAACTGTATCGTACCGAACCAATTTTTAGGTTTTTTTTAATAAAACCGTAGGTTTTTATATAAATCTATAACTGTACCGATAATTAGGGTAACTTTTTATTTTATAAAAATAAACCGAAAAAATACCGAACCGTACCGAATAAATTTACGTGTGAAAAATATATTTATCTATTAAGTTTAAGAGTAATAATGTATTAAAACCTTGGGCCTTGGAATTGTGAAAACGATTACAAGCAAACAAGTAATTAAACTCAGAATCTTAATTCCCAAACCTATAATGCTACTCCTATTGAAACTAAATTATTTCCAACATATTCACTAGCAAGACACAAGCTATTCTAGTGATTAGTAGCAAACTACAATGCATGAATATGTTTCCTTTCATACGATTTAGATTTATTTTTTTGAATATTTAATCTCCTGTAGACTTTATTCTTGAGTTCCAACTTGGTTAATATGTTTTCACTCAATTAATATCTTTGTTTAGTTTCTTTCATGCTGTTGTAGAATAGTTGATGGATATATACTCTGACTATCTTTAATATTTTCTTAATTTGTTACCCTTAAAAGAGTAAAAATATCTAGAAAGTTTGCTAAATCTAATAAAAGTACGTATGTTATTGCATTCTACTTCTACTAGTGACTTTTACATGACATTTAAAAAAATACCGAATTTTAACCGAACTGTAACGATACCGAAGAGAAACCGACATGATTGGGACGGTTTCGAAAAGTCTAATTTTGGTTATGCATAATAGAATAATCGAAAAAATAGTATGGTATAAATTTTAGAAAATAACCGCCCGAACCGAACCATTGACACCCCCTGTCAACTACGTGAACTTTGACAACATTTAAAATATTTGTTTTCCCCATATTAATATGAGAATTAAAAATCACAAATTAGGAGTAGTACTTTTCGTATAAAAAATAGCAGCCCGGTGCACTAAGCTCCTGATATGCACGAGAGTCTGGGAAAGGGACGGACCACAAGAATCTATTGTATGCAGTCTTACCCTACATTTCTGTAAGAGGCTGTTTTCACGGCTCAAATCTTTGATCTCCTAGTCACATGACAGCAACCTTACCAGTACTTTTCGTATAATTTGGAATATCCAAAAATTTTAAATATTAAATTAATATAATTCAATTTAGCTTCAAGGATTAGTCAAATTAACTTTCAAAAAGTGAAGCTAGACTAGTATTTTGGAACGGAGGGAGTAAGCATTACGATGAAAAATAAATATAATTGTAGGTAATTCTATCTAATAAATATTATGATTAATAATATAAAATAATGTTGAAGTAGGAGTACAAACAAGTGATAATTCTTGATTCTGTATTTCCAAGATAATTTGGACTTTGTTATTCTTGGCTCTGTATTTCCAAGATAATTTGGATTTTTGTTTTCCTTTATCTTTTTTTTGTTGTTTTAATTCCAAACATATATTGGTTGTAATCTTTGAAATTAGCACAAGGAGGTGTGTCTTAACTTAAATGATTTGCAGTTGATAGCATAATATGAACCTTTTGGTCAATATGCCAAAAACTGTTTATTTTTAAAAGTGTTTTGTTGAAAGTATTATTTTTTGCAAGTACATTATGTTTGGTCAATCGTTTTTTTCAAAAGTACTTTTAAGTACTAAACTATAAAAAGGGATAGTAAAAGTTCAATTTATAATTAGTATTATTTAAAAAAGATAAACAAATTTAGTTTTATGTTATAAAAGAATTCAATTAAAATATAAAACATAAAGGAAACTTACTAAAATGAGTAATAAATGATGCATTTCCTTTAGAAATTCAAAAAATTGATAGAAAGTAATAGTAACACTTTTATAGTGGAATATATATTGCAAGAATCAAACGGTTAAGGTTTCGGTTTAGAGAGGAATCAAAATTAAACTTGCTACAATTCAGTTTTTCTTCCTTTGGTTAGCATATTCACACTATAGCTTCAGGCTTGAGCAACAATGACAGATGAGCCGAGATACTCCATTTGCGTTTCCTGATGTTGTTGACAGTAACATTGCTAATGAATTAGAAGAAGAAAATGATCCCGTAGATGAAGAAGAAGAAGAAAGATCAGATAATTATGAGAATTCAAATTCAAATTCTCACCCAACACTGGTGTTTACCCGAAAAACGGATGGAGTTGAATTTATACATAGCTCTAAGGATACGTGGTATAACTTGACACAAATTATAAGGGAAGTAGAAATATCAAATATTGACTGTAAAGAATGAAAACAAAACAAAGTTGAAGGGAGGATGATTTATGAATAAGCAAGATGAAATAATGTATAAAGCTCAAAAGGATAATCTTTCAATATGAGAATGTATCAACAGTCTTTGAGTTACAGTTTATCAATGACTTGATAATTGGATCCCTTTTACAGAAATAATAGTCATCTCTCTTATAGTGGAGGGATACTACTTTAGATATAATTAAAAATACATAGTGGGGAATCCATGATAAATTAATTTTTTTTCTAATTCCCTCCGAGATTCTCTCCCTTAGTGCGGCTGTAATGACTCTTGTCTATGAGCTCGATATTGAATCGAGCTCGATATTGACTCGAGCTCGATTTTGATTCAGAGCACGGTATTAATTCGGGCTCAGTATTGGTCAGTTTTTGGCTCTTAAGCTCGATAACGTCGTTTCTCATCATAGTTCAATTTTGGATTCGAACTCGATAATGACTTCGAGCTCGGTATTGATCAGTCCTTGAAACTCAAAGCTTGGTAACCTGGCATCGGATCTCATCCTGATATTATAAAAACGCTCTTTGGTCCATTATGTTCCCATCTCGATCAATCGTACGAAGGCCAAAATCGGTTTTGACCGTATACAGATAGTCCCCTCGTTTCTCGGGAAGGATGTAGCGAGAAATGACATGATTTTCCAACGGTATGACTAGATATATACTGACGTTTGCATCGAGCCCGATCATGATGTACGTGATAGCTGTCCCGTCGGTTCAGTTTACCAAAGCATTAAATGCGTGTCAGACGATGGTCGGTCACTACTGATATTGAACCGACATTGGTCAATCTATAAATAGCCCCCTTTTTATTTTTTTTACCATTTATCACTTTTACATCTCCAATCTCCAAATTTTCTAAGCTCTTTCTCGCATCTTCTGAGTTCATCTGTAAGTCTGTGATTTTTACTGCAAAATCCTTCTTCTGTGATTTTAACTGCAGAATCGTTCTTTAAAACACCACATCTTTGTTATCTCCTTCTATTTTTGATTTTTAAATTCAAAATGGCGAAAACATCAAAAACTGTTCCTAAAAAAGAAAAAGCTTCTTCTTCACAGCCTGCCGCCAACAAAACACCGGTGGAGCCACGGCCCGAGGAGTGTGTTCCCGGGGCGTGTGTTCTTTCCTCTGATTTTTAGATTAACAAAGGCTCGTCGGTTCCCGATCGGTGCGAGCCAGTATCGAGGTATATATGCTCGATAACCGAGGGGCATCTTAAACAGATAAGGAAAGATTGCCACTGGGAGAACAAAGAAGTGATAATCCCCGCTCCCGAAGAAGATATTACTACTCACGTGAAAGGGTTTTTAAGTGTGTATACTTACCCTTTCACGTTAGGCTCCCTCGACCCTGTTATCATCGATTTTTGCCGTCAATACCAAATAACCTTAGGCCAATTCCATCTTTCTATTTGGCGGATCGTTAATCCGATCCGTTTCTTTGTGAACAAAATTGAGGGGATGCCTTTCACCCTCGACC